CACAATATATCAATAGGGTCTCTAAATGTAAATGTCTTTTATAAGCAATACTTAAAAGTTTAAAAATGCAATTTCCAACCGATCTCCATTACTTTTTAATGCATTTTACAAAAAAAAAAGAAAAGAAAAAACCTACACCTTATGATCACACTGCAAAAAAAATAAAATCAATGTTCTTCCTCAGTAATTTTGTACAAATGTCTAAATCATGACACATTTACTTGAGAAGCAAAAGGGCAAATGATATTAAGTCTTGTTTTCTGAGTAACTGATCAAAATGAAGTGAGTTTATGATTAAAACAAAAAAACAATATTTGCCAATGGTCTCCGAAAAATCTACCTAATTCAAAGGAGAAACGTGTCTTTCCCCCATTGAAAGATATTCATTGTTTTAAGCATAAATACTTAATTTTGTTCTCAGAAAACAAGACTTCATATGATCAATTCGCATTACAAGTATGTATCTTAATTTAAGGATGTTTGTATTTTATATTGCAAAACAAGACAAAAATACTGAGGAAGATTTCATTTTATTTATTTATTTATTTATTTTGCAATGCACAAAATATTGAATGCCATGACTTTATAAATGTAAGACTTCCAAAAACATCAGTAGATTAGCTGGGTCTAAAAACGTCGCTAATGCTAAAGACGCAGGTACGTTACAGAAATCTACAGTACGCTATTAAGAATCAGATGTAAAAATTAACAAATTAAAGCGCGACCGAACAAAGATAGATAATTGTCAGCATCAAACCAAAATTCTATGAGTTCTCACCGTTATCTGAAAGACACAACTCAACTCCATTCAGCAAAAGGATAAAAGACGGCATGAACTGCCATTGCAACTCCATTTCTCTGCATCAATTAAGCGTGACTGGCTCGATTTGAGGAGAAGTCGATGAATGTACTAGTATGGTCTGGAACTAGATTAAAAGTCCCCAATCTGATTTAACGGCTATTAAACGATCTCTAAACATTGGAATAACTAGGGAATTTTAGTATAGTAATAATGCTGCACTTAGTGATGGACGCTTTCCAGGGACGCGCAAAAAGTTCCTCAGGGGCTAAAATTAAAAAAAAAGG